CAGCAGCACTTTGAAGTCAGTATGAAGTGCCTTTATGACGTCACTGAAAGACCGTAGGTACAGGTGTACGAATATATTACACACACATACATACAGACCCACATTCACACATATACAATGAACATATAATCCTACCAATCTATAAAGATACTGGTGGCATTTAGTTTGTAAAATATTAATATATACCACATAATTGTTATTAAACTAAGGGTTTATATTGCCTCCTCACAACCGTACTGGACTTCAATATATAAATCAAGCACACTCCAAATTTCTATTACATCAGCATACACATATAATGTCTATCAACATCAGATGTTCTTTACATAATGTTTAAAGCTCCTGTCATTCAGGTTTTTGCTTCATACTCCAGCGTGAACACAAGTAAATATTGCCCATTATATTTACAATACAATTTTGGTATCGTGTTTGGAAGATGACATTACAAAATCGAAATTCCAAAGAGTCTTCACCACATTATTTACATGAGCAATTTCCCCTCAGTACAATCTTTCTATGAAAAGTTTTACTTTTTCTTGAAAGTCTTCACATATTTAAATAAAATGGCATTTTCTAGTACTTTGTTATATTCTTTGGCAGTGTCTAATCTCAGCTTTTTAATTGTATGACAAATCTGACAGGTGTTAAGAAAGCTTCTGAACATTCAGGATGTTGAAAGCGCCTTCACCCTTGTGTGGATTCTCTGATGTTTAGTGAGTACTGATCTCTGACTAAAGGTCTTCCCACACGCATTACACTCATAGGGTTTCTCCCCTGTGTGAGTTCTCTGGTGTTTGGTAAGAGCTGATTTTTCACAAAAGGTTTTTCCACATTCAGTACATTTATAGGGTTTCTCTCCCGTGTGAGTTCTTTGATGTACTATAAGGTTTGACTTTACGCAAAATGACTTCCCACATTCATTACATATAAATGGTTTCTCCCCTGTATGTGTCCTCTGATGGACAGTCAGGGCTGACCGGTGGCAGAAGGATTTTCTGCACGCATTACATTCATAGGGTTTCTCCCCCGTGTGTGTCCTTTGATGTTCAGTGAGGTTTGATTTGACACAGAATGTTTTTCCACATTGCTTGCATTCATAGGGTTTTTCTCCCGTGTGTGTTCGCTGATGGTTGGTAAGGTGTGGCTTCTGGCAAAAGGCTTTCCTACATTCAGTGCATTCATAAGGTTTCTCTCCTGTGTGTGTTCTCTGATGTTGGGTAAGGTTTGATTTCTCCCAGAAAGTTTTACCACAGTCACCACATTCAAAAGTTTTTTCTCCTGAGCGAGCTCTTCGAGACTGGGTGAGATGTGATTTCTTACTGAAATTTTTCCCAGTTTTCTGGTAGTCATAGTGTTTTCCCCCCACATGTACCATCTGATGTTTAAAGAGAGTTGACTTTTCCCAAGTTTTGTTACTCACTTTATATTCTTGGGCAATCTTTCTTTTGTAAGCTCCCTGATGAATAATGAAAGCTGAACTGTCACAGAAGATTTCCTCATATTCATTATGTTCATAAGGACTGTTCCCTGTAAGAGCTCTCTGATGTCCAAATTGTAAACCCACTAAAAAGGACTTCCTGCAAATACTGCATTCATGTGGCTCAATATCCAAAGGAATTCTCTGAGATACACTGAGCTTTAAAGTGTCAGTGAAGGGTCTTCCACGTTCAGTGTATTTGTAGAGTGTCTCCCCTATCTGAGACTTCTGACTTGTAAAAAGGGCTGCTTCCTCATGGAAGCCTGGTCCGTTTCCATTATACTCAAAAGGCTGGTCAGAAATTGGCTGAGTGAGAGTCTGGAAAAGGCTGAGGACATTCCTTTTTTCATCGTAGTTACATGACTTTTCTCCTACAGGAGTAAGGAATGATTTCTCACACACATTAAACTCATGAGGCTTCTTTCTGGAATAGTTCTTTTTACCAATAATTATGCCTGAAATATTTTTCAAATTCATTTCACATGAATCACATACTTTGAGCAGAAAATTTCTTGAAGAAATGAGGTCCATGTTGAGACGGAAGGCCTTCCGCCTGCTGTCACTTTCCAGGCTTACCGTCTTGTTGGTGAACATGAGCTGCCAAAAACGTTCATCTTCCTGCCTGCTCTCCAATAGGTCATCAACTTTCCATTTCCTTTCTAGAAATGAGAAAAATTACCATATCTTATGAATCTTAATACACTTCTGATAGAGCTGGATTTTTACAGAAATTCTCTATTCTACAGACAATTCTTCCGTTTTAGATTCAGTTTCCTGGTATGGAACTGAATCCAAGGTGTTTCATTTATCATCTCAGTTTCAGGAGAAAACAAACATCTGCTGTGGAAGCAGGGATGGGATCTGGCTATATCTAAATCTTAGAAATATATTTCTTTTTAAAAATTTTTTCTTTTATGTGTATTAAGATTATGCCTACATGTGTGTAAGTGCACTTGTGTCATGCAATGCCTTCATGAGGAGGGCAGAAGAGGGCATTGGATCCCTTGGAACAGGAGTTACGGATGGTTGTTAGCCTCCATATGGTGCTGGGATTCGAACCCAGGTTCTTTGCAAGAGCAGACAGTGCTCTTAACCACTGAGCCATCTCTCCAGCCTCCA